CATAAAAGATCAGAAGTTCTAACTCTTACTTGCTTATAGTGTATTTTGCGGCAAACAAACCCCAAAAAACATAGTTCATCTCTGCAATGTATGCACATTTCTCCGTGTTTTATCTCTATAAAGACTCTGCAAGTACAGAAAAATACTCAGCCACAAATTCACTCAGCTCCTAAGTCCTGTTATGGGCTGACAACACACAGCATTTTTGAGGACTGAGTGGTGTCAGCCCTGCCCAGTTTTCTCTCGCCAAACTTCGCAGACCTACCTACTCTCCCATCATCACAACATAAAGGCTAAACATTCTGTACTGTTGTTCAAATAAAGGACCTGGGAGGGCTAATTACTCTCCTGGAAATAACACAAGAAGTGATCTCACAGGACGGCTTTGAATCTCTAACATGATCAACAGGTTTATTTTTCCCTTATCAAGCAGACTTAAATGTCATCGACCAAACCTGTAGCATGTCCTCAGTCTCTGACCATCGTTTCTTCTAGTATGTCTGCAGTCTATGAGAGTCCTCTTGCCCATTACATATGCTGAATATTATGTGTGGCCTTTTAGGTCACATCAAGGCACAGGTGTATCTACAGAAAATAGCGTCAATGGCAAGCACTGAGATTGTGCCCCTTTCAGAAAATGTACACCTTTTTTTGCAGGACGTTGCCATAATATCAGTTCAAAAATGCAAATCAAACTGTCATCAGAGTCCCCCGTTACATCAGGGTCCCCAGAACTGCCCCTTACATCAGAGTCCCCAGAGTCTCCCTTTACATCAGAGTGCTCAGAGTGCCCTCTTACATCAGAGTCCCCCTTTACATCAGTGTCTCCAGAGCTCCCCCTTACATCAGAGCCACCCTTCCATCAGAATCCCCTTTACATGAGAGACCTCAGACTCCCCTTACATTAAAATCACCCTTATGTCAGAGCCACCCTTACATTAGAGTCTCCTTTACATGAGAGTCCTCAGACTCCCCTTACATCAGAGTCCCCTTTACATCAGTGTCTCTAGAGCTCCCCCTTACATCAGAGCCACCCTTCCATCAGAGTCCCCTTTACATGAGAGTCCTCAGACTCCCCTTACATTAAAATCACCCTTATGTCAGAGCCACCTTTACATTAGAGTCTCCTTTTCATGAGAGTCCTCAAACTCCCCTTACATCAAAATCACCCTTACATTAGACTCCCCGAAATCCCCTTTTACATTAGAGTCCCCTGAGTCCCCCTTTAAATAAGAGTGCTCAGTGTTCCTCCTTACATCAGAGTCCTTAGAGACCCCCTGTACATCAGAGTGCCCAGAGTTCCTCCTTGCATCAGAGCCCCCCTCAGACTCTTTAAGGGCAGTCTGCAGCCCCTCCCTTTAAGGGCACCCAGGGCACGTGCCATATGTGCTATGTCGTAGATACACCACTGCATCAAGGGCTGTAGTTGGGGTCCTCACAGTTGACAACCATTGCTTTATATGACAGTACAGTTATCCTTCAACTTTCTGGAGCTCAGAGATCTCTGTGGCCTGTCTGTAAATCCAGTAACAATTCCTAACCTTAGATTGTAAGTTCCTTGAGGGCATGGACTGATGTGAATGAGCACTATGTAAAAGCATTGCGTAACATTTTCGGCTCTATATAAATACCTGTAATAAATAATTAAAATCTACTATATTTGCTGGCGTATAAGACTACTTTTTATACTTAAAAACATCCCTCGACAATCGGGGGTCGTCTTGTACGCAGGGTATACAATGTATACCTTTAGTTTGTTTGGGCCAAGCTGGCCCAAAACGAACATCTCTAATCTGTCAGCCCGCTGGATGTGCGGTAATACTGTATGTACGGTAGCTTCGGCTACATACAGTATACCGCGCTGAGCCAATCACGGCGAGCGATGTACACAACCTCTGCCAATCCAAGCAGGCTTTGTATTCATTAATAGAATACATTGCTCTCCGTGATTGGCTCAGCGCGCTATACTGTATGTAGCCGAAGCTACCGTACATACAGTATTACCGCACATCCATCCATGATGCTTTTAAATGGTGTTGCCTTGGAAGTGGGGTAGTCTTATATGACGAGTATAGCCCAAAACCTATGTTTTAAGTGGAAAATGAGGGGGTCGTCTTATACACCCAGTCGCCTTATACGCCGGCAAATACGGTATTTTCCGGGAGTTTGCCTATTTTTACAATCACAGTGAAATAGAATTTCACCTTATTCCATAACAAAGTGCTCATTTCTAATTGCAGCAACCAATTAGGATCTACCTCGTCCTGGTCGCGTTCAACACAGTCAGTATGAATTGTTTGCTGGCGGCCACTGCTCATAAGAATTAGCACTTAAAAATAAAAAGCTTTTATTGAATAATGGAATGTTAAATCTCATTGTTTACGTTTCAGCTGAGACTTTTCATAGCCATGTTTTTGTTATATAGCCGCCGCCATTGTTCTTTGTTCCTAAGTGCTTTGTGGCGGGGAACAAGTAATTGTATGCTTTCCCAGCACACCAAGCAATGGAGATGTGTCCACAAGGACATCAAACAAGGTACACAATGGGAAAGGGGACAGTTCCATTATTGTCCTCAGCACCTGCTAAGTCTTTTACAGCTCAGTGTCACTCAGTCACAAGTGACCAACGATTATACTAAAAATCCAAAGCACATTGAAACGTGATATCGCCCTAAAAGGGTCATCAGACTTGTGGGGATCACTGCCAAAAAAAGAAAACTATGACTATTGGGAGTTCTGGTTTTACATACACAGACAGCCATAAAAGTCTCTTAATACCCCAGGCACTCTATCATGCTCAGTGTATAAACTCTACAATAAACTTCTTTGTGCTGTATACTTTGCTCTTCTCAGCAGAACCCCAATATTTGTCTCTGCCTGGGAGGGCATTAAAACACCTACTGTAGCTGTCAAAGGTAAGATTTCCCCTGACTTTGATTACTTCCTGTTGTATCTCCAAGACAGGAAGTAATGAGGAAATCTCCCAAGTGGGGGCACAGACATCAATAAATACCTGATGGAGACTTAAACCCCTCCCCTCCCCCCACACATTCCATCTAAAACTAGATTACAAAAACAAAACATTTCCCTTTGATGACTCTTAGGGCTCATGCAGACAGGCGTTGCTTATGTGCATTTGAAATGCATGTCAACCGCAGGTCAGCTGATTCCTATGGCTTTAATGGAGTAGTGAAGTTGACAGTTCAGATGCTGTGTTTGACCGGCTTGGCGATGTGCTTATTCATATGATGCAGCTTGTCCTATTGAGGTGTGTAAGAACTGCACGAAGCACAGGTCAAACGCAGCCTTTCCATGTTAAATGCTGAATTCTGCATTCAAAACGCATGAGTTTCAGCAGCGAACACATGTCGACATGAGCTTGTAAAAAGGAAATGAAGTCAGCTGGGTGGATGGGGGTTCTCATAATGTGCAAGAATGCACAACATGCATATTATGGCCACCTAGTATCCAGTGTGCCCTTCTCCGATGCTGGCAGAACAAGGCTGGCTACTGCTGGCTCATCCCCTGATGCCACCATCCTCCACATCTCTTCTCCTTGGGTGACCATTGTTGATGTAACCCCTGTGCATGGACACAGCAGTTACATTGTCCCCTGCACCTGGCTCTATTCTCACCATCTGGAGGATACCAGGGATAAGCCAGTAGTGCACTCTGCACTGCGTATGTGCATTTTTGTGGACTTCAGTTCCGTTTTATAGGTGCAGTGGGAAAAGAAAATAATAATTTGGGCCATCATTAAGAAACGATATTTTATACTGCAGAGAATACAGAAAACAAGTGATTTCTTCTTTCAAATATGTCTGCAATCTTAATGAGAAAGAAATTCACTGAGAAATGTGGAATTGATGGAGACTCCACTGCCCAGATCCGGTGTGCACTATGCAGTCATTTGTGTATTAATGTGTCTTTGGTCATGTATTCTAGACGGGGGTCTGTTAGTCCCTGAGGATTGTTATCAGTGTTCCCTCTCACCTGAAATGCAACCTCAGTTCCCAGGCATGCAGTGATACCTGAATTACCTGCAGAACAGGTCAGAACATAGAAGAGTGACGGACTAATGACAATAATGCCATACCTGGACTGGTCACAGAATTGTCAGGAACGCAGTGAAGAGAGATGAATGTTGTCCATAGATGGCTGTTATTTCATTGATAACGATGGACAATAAGACTTGATTATTGATGAAGGCGACTAGCTCAATGTACTGTCTCATGCAGGGAATGCACCGTGCCAAGCTGAAGCCAATACACCAACATAGGTCACAGCTTAGAGCAGCATTACTGCCATAAAGCATCCCACAAATCATGTTGCTAACTCAGTAAAACATTCCCATATATAATAAAAAGTTTCTTGACTTCTGTATTACCTGCCAGTGCAAACCAGTTGAGTCCTTATTGTTTTTTCATCTTCCCTACACCTAGAACCCAACTGCTAGCAAAATAGGACAACAGTTATTAGCAGGCACCTGGACCCGCACCTCGGGCGTATTTCAGCGCGTAATTATTTATTAGAATATAATTATAATTATTTTGTGTCTATTTTGTTGATTTGTTTTTTTACATTTTTGTTGAAATACCATCAATTAACAATAAAAATATAAAGTAAAAAAAGGTTTTCATAAAGACATTTTTTAAGATTTTTTTTATATAAGCAATTTCTGCCCAAATTGTCCTCATGGTCAATTTAAAGGCATTATGCAGAAATCAGTAATCAGAAAGGATTTTTTTCCTCTGTATTTGGGAAAATGGATTCTGCAGGGATGTTAATTGCTCCCTTTTAGATGTACACCTGTACAAGGCACCTGCATTTGGAAGTTTAGTGGGACACAAGGCGACTAGAAAGCAGCAGGGAGGGTGAAACTGTTTGGAATAGGAGGTGTGTGGAACCTATTGAAGGGGTGGAGACGGATACTATAGCCTGTTTCACATCAGGTGAGAGAGAAGGCTTTTAACACAACAAGAGTGACTCTGAGCTTGCACTGAGCATTGGCATGTGTATATGCTGACAGAGCACGGTCATTTTTTACATGGCTACTTCATCAGCTCAAAGCTGCGCCAATGGTGAGTACTTTACTAATCACTTTAGGCAGAAAATGTATTCTGATTCTTCTTATTATACAGGATTTATATATCAGCATAAGTTATCGCAGAGCTTTACAATATAAAGGGAGATATAGCTACATTTCAAGACAAGATGGTTAGGAGGGTCCTGCACGTGGGAGCTTACAATCTAAAAATTGTATAGGTGTGAATGGGCCCCTTATCAAAGCAAATGTGCTGTTACTACCAGCAAGACTGAAGAGCTGACATTCAGGCCTCCTTCACACCTTTTACGCTCTGGTGCATTATTTTAACACACATTATATTGCTCATTAATGTGTCCAACACACCAGACTGGGCAAAAAAAAAATGTCACAACATCCACAGTAGTGCATTACTGAGCATTGTTAAGATGATGATGATTGATGATGATGATGATATACAGGATTTATATAGCACCCACAGTTTGCACAGCGCTTTTAATATAAGGAAGACATGCAATCACAATACAATTCAAGACAAGATGGTAAGGAGGGCCCTACCCATGAGGGCTTACAATATAAAAGATGTTAGTGCATTGCGTTAGGGTGCCATTAAAAATGTTGTCAATGCACTAACGTGTAATGCATGGGTGTGAAAGGGCCCTTAGGACCCCTTTAAATTACTTCTGTTATAATGTCTGTACCACAATGCTGTGTGTTGCAATGCCATTCATTTTGAATAGCACCCCAAAGCACTATTACAGTAGCAACCATTGCATTGCAGCACACCAATGCACATGCTTTGCAGTGTGCTGCATTAATTTTTGTTTTTTTGTTTTTTATGTGTCTGATATTTAGTGCATTACAATGAATGGAGTGCCTGAATACAATGCACCAGTGGTAACGCAAAGCATAATGTGAAGAGGGCCTTGGAAGTGCCTACATGTACTCAGAAAGTAAACCCCAAAAGCTCTCTCATACAAATGACAACTTCAGATCCCAAAATCACACTTAAGACTGTTTCCTGGGTCTCATTATTGGCCTATACCTGTGATGAGCATCCTGAATGGACAATTATGAGACTTGGGAAAAGAAGGGGGCACAGCGTATCAAGTGTGATAACATATGAAAGTATATGATGGATAAAATAATAAAATGTCTTGGGCTTCAAAAATGTTCTGGACGTATGTACAAGCACTGATTCAGAAACTCACAGCTTTGGCAAATTGCATTGTTAGGAGACAATGGAATCAGGTTGCACTGACAACTTTTACACTGATCATGTTTTCTGAGATGTGAAAAGCTGAAGATGCACGTCATAAAAAGCCCCTTATAGTCGCAGTTTAGATCACTATCACTGGCTATAACTGGAAGTAGTCACGTTTGCATCTTATGAGCAATGGGCTGACACTTGTGGCTGGATTGGACAGTTGGCCGGTGATAGGTGGAGGTGTTGTGTTTTGGAATCTAATGATTTTAAACCGGAGTCTGGCTGTATTTTTTTTTTGTAACTCCTCTTTTTTCATATATACCCTTCAGATATGATGGAGACTTGTATTTTTACATAGTTATCAACATCTTAAAATAATCAATAGTATAATACAATGATGTATCATATTTGTATCTTTATTTGACACACAAGGTCACCGATTATAAGACCATGAAACATTATATACCAGATTATATCTTATACCAGATTATATCTTATATCTGGCTCTCTTTTAAATTGCCCATAGGAAGCAAATTCCTACAAATATTTTATAGGTATTATGATAGTCAGTTTTGAAAATTAGAGTTATTTCCATAGATGGTTTTTCTAAGATCTGTCAAGCAGGGACTCTGGGCAGCTCTGTAAAAGACTTTAACACTGCAGTCAACTTTCCCACCCTAATTATATAGGAAACAGATAGATACAGCCCATCAGTACCATGTGTACCAAAGGAGAAGAACTGAATGGGGGGGAAAAAACAAAAAAAACATCTTGGTGCTTTTTGTGTATAGCTAACATGCACCTCAAATGAACTTTTTAGTAATTAAATGCGCAAGACAACAACAAACTACAAAACGTGAGAAGTCTCTTTACATTGTGTTTTATGTAACAGTGCTAGTTCATGGAGACCAGTCCTGAAGTCCCTGGCTATTCAATTGTTATGGTCATTGAATTACTGAAGGCCAGTTTGATGGGAGTATTGTGGTTTCTTTTAGAAGACTCTCAATAGAAACTAAGGTCCAACACCTTTTCTGGAGTAAGGGAATTGAAATGTTACTGGTGGTATGACTAATACACTTGGTATTTATTGTACGCAAAGCCAAAGGTGTGTGGGGGTTTTTTTTGTGCCCAGTCTGGGGGACTCCCTTTTACTTTTTATTCCAGAAACACAGCAGGAACTAAAAGGAGATCTCTCCAAAGTAAGGGGATATCCCTTACCCATACACCTATCAATTTTCTTTCGGAAATCGTTTATCAATGGTCTTTCAAACGATAATTGATCGGTTGATGGGACACCAACGATTCTGGCCGAATTTCCTCGATTAGTCAGGCTATAAAACTTTTTCTCGACTCGTGTGAAATAGATGGGTTAGTGGCAATTTCGTATGAAAAAACATTGCAGCAAGAACACTGCACATGCGAAAAGAAAATCTGTTCTTTCGATCGACAACATTCGGTGAATTAGTATTGCTAACGAACGATTATCAGCATTGGTCTGTGCTTGATGGGCTATTTGAGCTAGAATCGAACGAGTGTTCTTGGCAGCAACGAACATTTCTGATCGCAATCTATAGGTGTATGGCTAGCTTTAGACAGTTGTCACCAGAACAGGTGTACCAATTAGAAGAATTTCTGTAACAACTCAAATGTTAGATTTTTCCCATCACTTTTTTTGTACCAGTGACAATGGTCACAAAGGCAAGGGTAAATTTCCTAAATGGGGACACAGCCAGCAAAAGAACCCCAACAGAGATTCCAAATTATCTACATTCTGTTTTTACCGTTTTTCCCCAAAAGTAAGACCTAGCACTATTTTTCAAGATTCCTGTAATATAAGACCTACCCCGAAAATTGTTTGGTAGCTTGTGAGGGGGAACTTGAAGAGCAGGAGAGATGGTATCAACCTGCAGGGACATACTGTATTAAGGGGATGACAGGGGACTCCCTCAGGCCAGCGCAGTGACAGGGAGCACTCCAGCACCATACTTCACCAACTGTTGTCCCCCTGAAGGAACTGCTTTAATGTAATGGTACTGTACTGTAATGTGTACCGGTAAACGGTACCGTACTTTACTGTCCACTGTCTAATGCCCCCACTGCTGCACCGCTGGTAATGCTGTCCCTGATGGCAAAGGAAGCCGGTGCTGTACAAAGCAAGGCTGCGGTGGCGGAGGGAGCAGAGCCGCATTAGCCGATACTTCCTCTATAGCGCTGGTTACTGTGACAGGCGGAGGGATACCAGATAACTTTGGATTGTTGTACATTTTGTTGCACATTAAAAAAATAAAAAAGACATCCCCTGAAAATAAGACCTAGTGTGGTTTTTGGGGGGCAAAAAAAATATAAGACAGTGTCTTATTTTCGGTATAACTGAAAAACTTCTGGCTTAACATATGCTTTAATGGCACATTTTTATTTATACAGATCAATATACAGTCATGTGAAAAATCTAGTACACCTTTTATGGAAATTAACTTTTTAACATATTTCAACAGGCAAACATTAGATCTTTATTTCTACAGATAATGGTGATGATACTTGAATAAAAACTGCAGAAAAATTCAGCTTCAATCATTTATTCACCCCAAAAAAACGAATACTGTAATGGTGTACTATGGAAAGAGTAAGTACACCCTTGGCATCAGAAGCTGGTATTGCCCCTGGAGGAGGACATTTTGTCCACTTTTCTATGCAAAATTCCTTCATTTGCAAAATGTTTGCTTGTATGAGCTGCCCCTTCCAAAATGTTAAATGGAATCAAATCAGGGCTGTGGACTAGTCAGTTCATAACATTTATTTTTCTGCCCTTCTTTGGTGGATTTGCGAATGTGCAATTGAGCTGGCAAGATGACACCAGATAACATTAATAGTAAAGAAAAAACCAGACTCTAGCAGGGTTATTCACAAAAGGGTGAAGCGTTTGGAGAAGAACAATCTAGGCCAAAATAGCTGAACTGGAAGGTGAGCTGAATTAAAGGATTTTTCCAAATCAGCTATTTTGGCCTAGAATGTACTTCTCCTGCCTTCTCCAAACGCTTCACCCTTTTGTGAATATCCCTGTAGATGTCTGCACACCTCCCTAAGGAGGTTATATTCATTGGCACCTAATCTGGAACACCCAATTTTATTTTCATGAATTTGAAGTGGTGATAAATTTTGGGGGTGTACTTACTTTTTCCATATGACAAATCTGCCTTTTTGGTTTTTAATTTAGATCATGAAAATGAATACACCATATACATTTATGTAATTTGTTCAAGTACTCGCCTTTTATCGGTAGGTACTATTTGAATTAAGATCTAATGCCTGTTCATTCAAGTATATTGAAAAAGTCATCCATTCCCATGGGGTGTTCTTACGCTTTCACATGACTGTACCTGCATGTTTTTGCAGTTCTGGGTCCCACTAGGGACACTCTGCCTGTAGTTTAAATATTTTTCTATGCTTTCTGTAGGTTTCCTCTTGTAGGTCGATTTTGCTTATACAAAACTAGTTTTTCTTTGTGACACACCTAGGCGATTCAGATGCTGAGCTGGTTTCGATCGCACGACTGTTCATTGTAAACCGTGCGATTGTCAATGCATAGAGATGTCTATGGGACCCAAACCGTGCGACCAGTGGCGGAGCTAAGGAACAAAGGGCCCTGGTGCAAGATTTTTTTTTGGGCCCCCCCCTCCAAAAAAACCCACAAACACAGCGCTCTCCTTCCGCAGCGCTTGGCCGGCTGTCACTTTCTCTCCTCCCCGCTGGGAGACGGAGCAGCGTCCAGCGGGGGAAAAAGAAAGCACGGATGCACCGCTGTATCAGCAGAAAAATTGCACTTTCGGCATTATGCCAAAAGTGCCATTTTCGGCCAATATGTTTTGGCGGCCAATATATGGTGCAGCCCTAATATTTACAGCAATACAGAATGGCACAGGCTATAGAGGACTACACATCCCAGCAATACTTTATATAACAATAGCATTTCTGTATAAAGTACTGCTGAGATTTGTAGTCCTCAGCAGGCGATTGGTTGTAAGTCATACAGCAATCGCCTGCTGTTAAAAGCGGTACCAAGAGCAGCCGTGTTCTTGTTTTAACCACTTCTGCGGGCCACCGTCTATAGACGTACTGCGGCCTGGAAGTGGTTAAAGTGACATTAAAGTAAAATTTTTTTATCTCTCCACCCAATGTTAATGTTAGCACTTACCTTCACTGATGTCTCTTAATCCGATCTTCTTTCCTGATGTTTTCATCTGTCCCTCCAGCGGTGCGGCGGGTCTCCGATCCAGCGCTGACTCCTCTGTCATTGCTGGCACTTCCTGTCCCACGGTGTCTGCATGCAGGTGCATGCGTCCGTATACTTACCTTGCGTCTCTCCTCGTCTCCCGCCCGAAAATCCGAACTGCGCATGCGCCCGCCCCAAGATGCTTTGTGGCCGCCCGAGCAGTTTCGGGTTTTCAGACAGGAGCGCGCGGCTAAGACTGGGTGAGTTCAAACCGCTGTTAAAACGTTTTGTTTTTACAAAAAAAAAACTTTTTGCATATATCTACTGCTTGCTAGCCTTATATATATGCAAAAATATCCGGAGTGCTTAATAATCCTTTAATACTCACCTGATCCCTGGAACGACCAACAAGCGCAGACTCCCGTCTCTCACGCTGTCAGAATATGCATACAGAGCGTGTGCTGGTTACTATTTAAACCGGCGCGCTGTGTGCAGCTTCTGAGAAGATACGCTATTAGCATAGCGATGAAGCCGGCTGCGCTAATAGCGTATCTTCTCAGAAGCTGCAAACCGCCGGTAGTTCCGCCACTGCGTGCGACAATCGTCCGAAAATAGCTCCTGCACCTTGTCGCGCGACAAACCGCAAAGGTGTGAACAGCCTCCATTGACGTCAATGCGAATCTGTGTTTTGCGCGACTCAAACTGTGCGATAAATTGCCTTGGTGTGCACCGCCCCTCCATGTAAAGAATGTATCATACATTTATTTGCAAGTAAATAAATCTCTAACTGGTTTATAGAAGGCAAAATCTACAGGGTGCATTGAAGCAGTGTGAAAATGTGTGACAGACTGACCCCACGAGTCCATACTGGTTTGTAAGCTGATCTCGGGTGTTTAGAAGACGGGGGCAGCTGAATTGATGGGCCATTTAAAAGTCCTTTGAGCCCCACCCATTGTATGGTCATTTGTATGGCAGGAAATGAGTGGATTCAGGTCACCAGGTAACAGGCATTCGTCCTGCTTGATGGATCTGCTGTAATGGAGTCATTTTACACCTCAGTGACTGAGGAGGAATTCTCAAATCAAACATAGAACTTCTTTATAAAACCAAGTGCACGGGAGCCTTTCCATAGCAACCAGATTTAGGTATTTGCTTTCAGGGCCCATTCACACCATGTCCGGATCAGATGCGTTACGTTAAATTTTTCTTACGCACCAAAAATGCATCCCAATGCATTTGTATGTGATTTTTTTTTTTTTTTTGGGCTCTGTTCACACCAGTCCAGTCTGTTCCAGTGCAGGAAAAAAACAATGCCGCATGTCACATCTTTCCTGCACTGGAACGCACTAAATTGCACCACAAATGAACCGGAACGCAATAGAAGCATTGACATGGAGCAGAAAGATTAATTTGCATAATGACCACCCCCCCCAAAAAAAACACACTGGAACGCGTCATAAACGTATCGCACCGCGCTTGCAAAAACACGTGCAGATCTGGTCCGGACGTGTGTGACGGGGTCCTCAAGACAGGTTCGTAAATGTTCTTTTGGTTGCTGTGGGCAGTATTAGTATTGGTGGTTTTGTTTCTACATAAGTATCACAAAGTTTCACTGATGATTGAATTCACACCACAGGAAAACTTGCAATAGAACAAGGGTAGGCAACCTTGGCACTCCAGCTGTGGTGAAATCCCATTATGCCCCTGTCTCTAGGAGTCATGCCTTGCAATGCCTCATGAGACTTCAACACTTCTACAACAGTTGGAGGTTTCCTACCCTTACCATATACCTTTTGAGATTTCAAACATTGATTGCAATGTAAATTTGCCTTTACCTTGAGAGTGCTAAGATCCTCAGTAAGTCTGAGGTGCTCTTTATCAGAAGCATGATGTTTGTTTTATAATTTGTTGGGCAATAAAATAAGTACAATGTGTGTCTCTTTTGGGGTTCTATTTATAGAGAAATCGCAGAGCCATTCTCCCTATTCGCATTTTTTCTTTGCAGATCAAATGTATTATCAGTGAAATGTCACATTATGGCCACTAGATGAAGCTGAGGAGCATAGAAAATAAATACTTGATATGCTCCTCGGTTATAACCAGGCTGATTTGTATTCTGCTACAGTTAAAAACTAGTATGCTATACTGCCTTTAACCTAATTTTGCTATAGGATTGGCATATATGACTATAGTAAGCTCCTCTGGGGCTGGTATTGATGTTTCAATGGCCAGTAAGTGCATCAGAACTGGTCCATGTTGCATAAAATACTACTAAAATGTAAAGGTATGATGTCCATTAATGTTGTGAAATGTTATTCCTTTTTTTCATAATATTCAGTTCAGTTTTCTTTGTCTTTGCAGGGACATTGGTGACCCTAGCCTGCCTTTCCCGTCAGGTCTTGTGCCAGATTCTGGGTGACGCTGACCTGTCGGCCTCTACATTCCAAAATCTGACTATCGATGCAAACCTAGCCTCAAGCAACACCAAACATGAATTCCTCATTGGTGTGGCACTCGCTGTGTTTTCCAGCATCCTGATTGGTAGCAGTGTCATCCTGAAGAAAAAGGGGCTCCTACATCTGTCTCAGCAGGGCAGGACGCGAGCCGGTAGGGCAACCTCGTTCTAATGGGTGGAGTTTTTCTATTTATCTTTGTTTTTGCAAGTCTTGGCTTCTATGATCTGGATCATAACCTCTTTTTACTTTGCTGTTCCATCCCCACAGACCTTTGTGACTGTTCAATGTACATCTTTAAGAGAATGTTCTCTTTATGTAATGAAATGTTACTTACACGTCTTTTGAGCTTTGCCAAAAAGGCCAAGCCTTTTTTTTTATTTTTTTTTTATTTACCTCACTAAAGCCTATGAATCTGGAATAAGTGCCGGGGTCGCACCTGTGCATACAGCTCATCTCTAAATGCATATCAGCTCATGTAATTAATTTGCAATGGTACCATGCAGTTTCCACTTACATGTGTTAACCTGTATTTAGCTTAGCTGTGTGTAGAGAAAATCAGATTCTGAGCGCCCAGGAAAAAGTGATCTGGGAAGCATATAAGTTACTTCTACTTCCCAGATAACTTTTCCTGCATTTAGAAAATGTAAGCACTGGATTGTAAGTGAATGAGGCCTGATTTGTCACAATGGCAGTCTAAATTGCAGCCATTAGAAGTTTAAAAGTATTTCATTTTAGATAACGTGCAAAGGTCAGAATCTCTGTCAGGGTCTTATTGCTGTCTCTGCTTGGAGACTCCCGCTCTTTTTCCTGGGCGACCACAATCCGGAACTGAAAGCGAAATAGAGTCTAAAATCCTAAATTGTCATCAAAACTGGAGTAGAAGAGACATTTTCAAGTGGGAATACTTGTTCAGTGACAGGATTTTCTTTGGAGAGATTTCCTCTCAATTCCTTTTGTGTCTCAGATGGGAAGTGAAGGAAAACTGTCTTCAATGGGTTTTAACCATTCCTAACTCTAGATGTGCTAGATGTACAGCAACTGAGCAACACCAGTCACCGCACGTAGAAAACAATTGTCCCTGTGGCATCTTTCTAAGATGGGAATTCTGTTCACCTTCAAGAGATTTTCTGTTGTATCTCCAGGAAAGGATGTGATGGGAAATATGCATAGTGAGACACGGGCAGCAAAAATAACCTGATAGGGCAATTGACCACCTTCCTACACTCTAGATTTGGTTTTACATTTACTCACTTTTTAAGCCTGAATCCCAAGATGGACATTTCTATACAAGCGGTCTCGGAGGTTTGTCACATTTTCTTTGTCTATTTTTAGGTGCTGGCGGACATGGGTACCTGAAGGACTGGCTGTGGTGGGCTGGACTTTTAACAAGTAAGTCATTTTACCCCATTCTTCCCCAAGCAGGCATGTGTCCTCTAGCATCTAAACAGAAAGGTTTTTAGCTGGAATATTCTAATTCATGCCGCTCCTTCATACAGCTGTGAAGCAGAATTGGTGGTGGTGGTGGTAGTGGTGGTGGTGGGGGGTGGGATAAATTGTCTATAGAAAACAAACTAGCTCATCAACACCGAGATGGTGACTTCCCAGGGCACATGGCCTCGTGAACGTGGAAAAAACGCCTTTTCCCTTACTGAGATGAAATCATAGTTTACAACAACATTTTATTTATTTCCCCTTTTTTTCCCCTTTTCCCAAGCCACATGCCTTTAATTCACATAGTAAATCTTTCCTACTCCCAAATTGGTCCCATTAGATCTCTGTGGTTTATCATGAAATAAATAATAAAAACAAGCTGATGTGATGGGCTGCTACAGTAGCAACTGCATTAAAAATAATGCATGGATAGTTCCTAACTTTCTTTGACACTGTTGACTTACCCTAGTGGTAACGTTTGGTAGTGGTGCTGGTGAATTGAATTTTCTACCTTCAAAAGTTATGATCACTTGGATTTAGCATTTATTAATTTTATTTCTTTTTTGTTTTGCAGTGGGAGGCGGAGAAGTTGCAAATTTTGCTGCTTATGCCTTTGCGCCAGCAACCATTGTGACACCATTGGGAGCTCTCAGTGTACTGATCAGGTAATTGACCACCATGAGGCAAAGGCTTGCTTCTAACCAGCTGATATGACCAGAAAATTAGCTTTAAAAGGCTAACTTCAATTTGTATTCTTCCTCAGCGCTGTCATGTCATCTTATTTGCTGGGGGAGCGCTTAAACATCTTGGGAAAGTTGGGGTGTGCACTCAGTGTGTTGGGGAGCACTGTACTGGTGATCCACTCCCCTGAAGAACAAAAGGTGACCACGGTAGAAGATATGACCTCCAAGCTTAAGGATGCAGGTAGGAGAGACAAAAAGCTCAATGCCTACAATCATACCAAACTATTTTTTTTAAAGATAGACTAAAATGAAAGGCCCTGTAATACATATTTTGAATTTTCATTCCAATGTTTTTCTTGCCTAAATTCAATTATTTGAATCCACAGGTTTCATCGTGTACATCAGTGTTCTTTTCATCTGTTGCCTGGTCCTCATCTTCCTTCTCTCACCTCGTTTAGGACACTCAAACATTCTAGTCTATTTAGCAGTATGCTCCCTGTTGGGGGCTTTCTCTGTGTCTTCTGTAAAAGGTCTAGGAATAGCTGTGAAAGGCCTTCTTACAGGCCTACCAGTCTACCAGCACCCCTTGCCGTGGATACTCATCCCCATCCTCATCATATCGGTAGTCACCCAGGTAAACTATCTCAACAAATCACTGGACATTTTTAATACATCCCTGGTCTTTCCGATCTACTATGTGTTATTCACTACAGTGGTCATCACCACATCGCTAATCCTGTTCAAGGAATGGGTCTCCATGTCACCATTTGACGGTGTGGGTGCAGTGTGTGGTTTTCTCATTATCATCTTGGGAGTCTTCATGCTCCATGCCTTCAATAACCTGGACATCAACTTGAAGAGCCTTCAACAACAGTTGCAAACCCTTGCACCTGCGCCCACCAAAGAGGAAACTAAGAAAGAAGATGGGATCACTGCAAATGCCAAAGAGGAAACCAAGAAAGAAGACAAGATCACTTTAATAGACAACATGGAGACCGAGTACAGTGGTGGTATTCCTAAAGTGTTTGTTATTTACACCTAGACTGGGCTTCTGCACTTGTCTTCATTTATGAGCTGAGCAAAGCTGCATAGTTCCCTATGCCTTAGCAGTAACTTATAGCAACCAATCAGAATTCAACATGTGAATTGAATCTGATTGCTGTTACAGTACTTTATAGATACTTAGAGTTGCACTTCATTTATAAAACAAGGGTGTGTAGGCCATCCATTTTTGGAGAAGCCTTTCCTGGTATGACATGGGTGTGGGTCTTAGTGATGACCCTGGATCAGGAACATGCAGAATTGCAGAGAACGCATGCTTGGCCTTCCTTGTGTCCCTGGATAGACAGACAACGTAGTTAGGGTGGTGATCTTCAGTGACATGTATGAAGGATCAAAAAATAAAATTGGGTTGGGTAGCTTTTGTTAGGACATGTGTGACTGGGTTTGCAATGATGTCCATTTGGTTGTGGCTCCAGCTAGTGACTTATTGCACTAAACAGTGCTTAAGGTAGAACCCCAGCCAAAACCTATTTTCCTCCTAACTTGCTAGAGTGAGGAAGGGTTAAAAATGTTGGCTGATTTTTAAGTCTGATATTTTGTTCAGTCTCCTCCATAGATATATGATGCAAGGTTTGACATACCACACAAGCTGATCTTGTTGATGTTATGCCAACTTCAGAAGCATTGCCCCATGTCTAATCTGCACTGTATCCATATTTTTCACTTGGGTTCTACTATTATCTTGATTGGCTTGGAGGAGTTGGCAACCCTGTCATGTGTTTATTGTTTTGTGTTTCCCTGGGGGGAGATTCATCCTGTTTATCCAGAGGATCATTTTAATCGGAAAAAAATTGAGGAAAAAGTCAAAATGTTTTGTCACCAGAAAAGAAATAAAGGAAAACTCTTCCAATGAGGACACTTGTTGCTATGGCAGCAGTCTGAGGTGAACATGAGAGGTATATTAACCATTCCCTACTCAAAACTTAAAGTTTTAGCTTTATACTTTTGTGATCTGTATAACCTTTTATAGTGTATGTGGGTGGTGTGTGTGTGTGTATATACGAGAAGGGAAGGGGCAACTCAACTGAAGGGGACTCCCAGCCAATGGGCCATATGTATAATGTCTGAAAGGATAAAAAAAATGTTACCCTTGGCAATCAAATTCTTGGTGACAACAGGAATCTGACTATAGGGAAAATGCATTTTGAGTTAATGTGTACATGGATGAGCCTGATTTTTCTGCTAATGCGAGTCTCAATTGAAATGTATACTGTATATTTTATGTCAATTTTGTGAAGTGTGTTTGTTTTTTAAAGTTACCTTTTTTATTAAGTTATATAAAATATTTCACATTCAGTTGTGTGGTCATTCTACAGCCCAATGCTCCATATTTATGCCTTAACTGACCATGTTTTATGCTGTCTTAGGGAAATTGCAATACACATGGAATTTTGGTTTAAATGTTCAGTACTCTGACAATAGATTACATGACACCAAACCGAAGAGTTAAATCCTAAAAATGCATTCAAGTACCTTTTTAACTAATAACAATGGATCTTATTTCTGTATCACTCGGCTGTAGATCCTCAAATCATCCCTGAATTCATGCTGACACTGTCCTTCATTCTGGAGGGAGGGTCACGGGAGAACACAAACTAGCGTCCTCCCGTGACCCCAAAGCTCAGTATACTGAGACGCTGCAGCCAGGACGGATCCCAACAATACTGTCTGGATCCTCCCAGCTGCGTGAGTGATAGCTGGCTCTGCCTATTCAGAGGCAGAGTCGGCTGTGCCCTCCCCCGTCCGTTCCCCCAGTCAGCGCTGGAGGATCAGACAGGGGAGGGATCACTGCAGGGAGCCATGAGTGACACGTATGTGTTCGCTCACTTCCCGATCTACTGAGTCGACCTGTGACAGTTTCATTGTCATAGGTCGGCTCAAATTATGACGCGGAGTGAAAATCACTCGCCTTATTCTCCTTTTAAGGTGGCCATATACCTTACAATTATCGGTTTATATTTTTTTTTAGTGCCTTCATCGAACCGTTGTTCGATTTCTGCTTGAATACCCCATCATGCTCCGACCAATGTGAATTTCGATTATCGTTCGTTAGCAATACTAAGTCGACAAATTTAAACGATTGACAGAACGAATTTTCGTTCTCGCATGTGCAGTGTTCATGTTGCGAATTTATTTTTGTACGAAAACGCCACTCATCCGTTGATGGGTCCTGTGTCCTTCAATGGACTGAAGAGAAAATAATTTTCATGTAGTTTATGCATGTGTCCCCATAAGGGAAAGAAGTCATATAACAGTTGTTTGAATAACTTTATTTTGTGCGCCTCATGTTTTGCCACAAACAAGGTGTGTTGTCATTACAGAATGCAAAGCTGAGTGAAAATCATCCGTTACATTGCAGAGAAAAAGAATGCATAAAATAAATTAGTCCTGAGGTTCAAAAAAAATTAAATAATTGAACATATTTGAGAAGATGACGGCTGCTTTATCCTACACAACAGAAAGATTTCATATGGAAATGGCTGCTGTAAACATAAGTTATCACTGTGACTAAGTCTCTCTAAACCCAAAATTCATATATTGCATTTTTACATGGCGATCCTGTAAATAACGCGTTCTGTCCCTGCGTTTCCATGCTTTTTTATCCACTGTATTGATGAAGGGAGCCATGGTTGTCGCACAGGCTGGATCCTGAACATGTTTGCCTTTGTTCAGCTCCATTACATGGTGAATTGATGGGATTAGTAGTTATACAATAACAATAAGATTTTTTTTTTTTTTTTTAAGCGGACAGGATGTGACAAGGACACGGCATTTCTGGCGAGATTAACAGCTATTTTCTATATTTGCCAAAAATATTCTCAGCCTAAACAGTAGCAAAGCCACCATATCTAAGGGCTACTGAGCTGCTAAATTTTTTGTTTTGGATTTAGATACACTGTAAGGGCCCATTCACACCAGCAAGCTGTGCTAAACATACAGCTGCTGGTGTGTGATACAGGCACAGTGCTGATGCGCCGACCCCAGCACTATTTACCTTATTTTTGTTAAACCTTATTGAAATGTCATGAGTGAATCAGCACAGACCTGTGCAATGTGGTTGCACTGTGTCGCACCACGCTAATCTGAAAAAAAGTACAACATGCCACACTTTTTTCAGTGCACACCACTGCAACTGTGCCCATTGGAACAAGGTAAATGGTGGCCCTGGTGGTGTGAGCAGGCCCTTCAAGAGTGCAGAATCTCTGGATCGGGAGGAGGTGAGTAGGTATGTCTATGATCCAGAGATCTGCAGCTGCAAAGTTCAGCTCCTGGCACGTGGCCTGCCTGTGTGAGCAGCACTACAGCTGGCTGGTTGTCAGACATCTTTACTGACTGGGAGCACACACGGGGAAGAAGTGTCACAAGAAGAAACTATCCAACCATCAGGTCTTTGTACTGCATCGATGCCAGATCCATATATTGGCCAAGTTGGGATGAAAGATCACAGCTGGCCACAATGAGCAAAGTGATAAATTGGCCCATGTATAGACTAGCCCAGGGGTGGGCAACCTTGGCACTGCAGCTGTGCCGAAACTACAAATTTCATCAAGCCTCTGCAAGTCAAGGTGTGGGTGTCAGTCCTGTAGTTCCACAGCAGCTGGAGTGCTGAGGATGCCTACCCCTGAACTAGCCTTTCCTCCCTGTAATCTGGTTTTGCACACAGCCTTCTGCTCTGTCTTTTCCTGAATGTTTGTCTTTGCCAGGTGGCTACAGGGACAGCGAGTCAACCATAAATGGTAGGCATGACACTTCCGTGCCAATGGTCATCATTACATTACGTTTACAATAGCCTAGAACAACAGCACCTATAGGTCATATTCAAAATGCTGACTTCTGGTTGTCTTGAGAATGTGTTTTGTAACTTTGCATTACTAAAAAGAATTTAAAAAAATAAAATAATTGAAGGCATGACCTCCAGGGCCAAGGGTCTTTGAGATGCTCTGCGACTGGCAGATCTATCTATAATACATAAAAAACATCTACTCAAGGTGGAGCAAGCTTTTGTAGAAAAGCTAAAGTTTAAAGGGCAAACTGACATTTCATGATGTAGTGGTATTGTCCAAAAAAAATTAAAATGGGATGTGCTTTATTGCCCAATGTCAGCGCGGTGTCCATTGGCAGTCAACTAGTTAGATTTTGGGCACCAGGCTGAACGAGTCATTTATTAAAGCAGAAGACTGAGGACATCTAGTGACAAAAGCTACAGCTTGCGATATACTGAGCCTAGGGTGATGGGAGGACGCTAGTTTGTGTCCTCCCGTTACCCTAAGGAGAACTATGGGGAAAAGACTTAACCCCATAGTTCATTAAAGAAAAATAATGAGTATTGAAAAGCTGTTGGTATAAAAGAAATTAAGTGCAATGAGGGGCGTGCCACCTATTGGAGCTCCCTCTTTAACAGTTTCAGTGGAAGCCAATAGGATATCTTTCCCTATACAGTGGCTCTTTGATGGGAAGAGCCGCCTCTTCTACATAGCAGCCACACTGACAGTCCCAACTCTCCCCTGTCCATTCACAGAACACATTGGATTTTGTGATCATACAATATAAAGCATTCTGTGATTGGACAAGGGGAGAGGAGGGGTGGACAAATGACACAACGGCTGTTGCATAGGAGACCCAAATGTCGGATAGTATAGTGATAGCTGTACTAATGGTGCTCAATAAAACTGTAAAAAAAAAGAGTAATGGTAAAAAAAAGAGACAGCTTCAAGACATGGCATACACCTCATTGCACTTAATGCCTTGCCAGCAGATTTTAAGTACCTCATTTTTTCCTTGAGTTTTTCTTTATCCCAAATATATCCCATAAAGAATCATATCTTCAGGCTGCTCATAGTAACACATTTTAGCAGTAGATGTCGCTGCTGGCAAAATATAGAACTGCAGACCTTTGTCCTATGGAAACCCTAAACCACGGAAGGCTCTACATTTTTTAATTGTATTTTGCTAATCGTTAATGGTTTTATAAAAGAGAAT